AAACCAGCAAAGGACCAGCATAAACCAGCAAAGGACCAGCTCAAACCAGCAAAGGACCAGCATAAACCAGCAAAGGACCAGCTCAAACCAGCAAAGGACCAGCATAAACCAGCAAAGGACCAGCTCAAACCAGCAAAGGACCAGCATAAACCAGCAAAGGACCAGCTCAAACCAGCAAAGGACCAGCATAAACCAGCAAAGGACCAGCTCAAACCAGCATCCCAGCTTCAAAACATACCGATGAGGCAGTTTGTTTGACGCATTTTTATTTGGTTGGAGGCGATGAACAAATAGGCTACGCTCTTCACTGAACAAGTCGCTGTTCTGTGTCTAAGGAAAACTATGTGCTCTTTCAAAGTCTATACTGAAATGCTATTTACTCGTAGTACTGTAGTCAGCCACCAAATCAGTCGCGCGTTTCAACCGGAAGAGACTTACTGAAGCGAAAGTGAGAATTATTCGTCCAATTTTTGTTTAAAATTAAATTCGTTTACGAACGAAACACCACTACACCCAAGCAGCTCCCACTGAGAAGAATAGAAATTCTAACGGATAGCTCACTCCAGGAATATATAACTTCTCGGCACAAGGAGATTGCCATCTCCACATCTCTAGGAAGCTCTCTGGCAGGTCACGTGATCTCGCAGTAGCAGGGAAAGCTTTAAACTGCTCTGGCTTCATCCAGTCGAGTGTTGAGCGTCAGTGGAGTGGAGAGCGCAAGAGCCCAGTACCACAATAATGGCAACCACAACAGCAGGTGCGACAACATTCTGCTTTCATTTTTCGAAACACTTCTAAACCACACTATCGCATGTTTGACTTTTACTTGTTCATGTTTAATAATTAATTTTCTACATTTTTTTTGTTTCCTAGAAGCCGAAACCCGTCAAAGACTGCTGCGAAACGTGAAGAAGGAGGTAAGTGATAGTAAAAACAAATAAAGCCAAGTGAACACAAGGCTGAAGCGCCCTTTAAAATGTGACTCATGATTCAGACATGTCTACAAAATGTGTGGTGTTAAGTTAACCAAACACTGGAGCTAATATTATACGTGAAAGAAAGCTGCCAGAGCAAAATAAACAGTTTTAATGCTGTTAAATTGTTGGTATAGTTGTTGTATTGTGGTAAAATCATAGGTAGCTGTGCGATCTCAGTCTACAGTATATCATGAATAATATATTCGGTTTTACATATCTATTTTTTCCTGAATGTGCTGCATCTGTTTGTCTTATTCCCCATCAAGCATCTGTCACTGACTCAATGCCAGCTTTATCACACTATTTCTTTCCAAAGCATATTCATGTCTGCATTAATAAAATAGTGAGTGTGACGTTTTATTCAAATGTGATGTTGTTACAGTCAGGTTGGCAGGTCTCTGTTATATTATTACATTTAATAAATTTTATTTTGAAACAACAAATTTCTCTATGGATTCAGATGCATTTAATATACAGACAAACGTTTTGTTCAAATGTACGAAAACATTGAAATCTATTTATATATCATCCACATCTACGGTTAATGATCCATACGCACTCTGTAAGCACTTTCTATATGTTACAACTGCCCATATCATCCCTCAGACTGCATTGTGACTTTGAGTCCTTAAAATACCTAGATACCTAAATAGAACTGTTTGTTCATAGATTTTCTTCTTGTTGAAATGTAAAATACAGCTTAAGGCTCACTGCATCTTTTAATTTATTTGTGGTATTGATTTAAGGCCAGTCCTATCTCTTTTGGCAGCACAGAATGCATTGTGTGGTCTTTGACTTTCAGTCATTTCATTTGATTAATAGGTTTCAATAATCCTTTTGGGTTAAGCAAGCGCTCTCTCTGTGTATTTGCACGAGTGTATGTTTAAGCGGTTGCTCAGTGGATGAGGTTTTGTATGAATTTGGGTGTGAATTTGTATGATTTCCTCACAGCAGGCATGTAGTAGCCGCACTCGCCCTATACTACTGACTCTGTTTTGATTTATGGTTCACTATTATGAGTTGTGATAGCAGTCGCTGATATCCTTATCTGTCATGTGTGTCAGCGATTCATCCAGACATGAGTGCAGTGGATTTTCTAGTGGTACTGTGGTATATTACTGTTTTTAAATGTAAAACTCACAGCTTTGTGCCGAATGGTCAATGCATCATCTTTTATGGACCCCGTCTTGTTGCAGTCATGTGGTGCAATGTATAAATAATGAGAAATGACAAAAATGCAATTAAAAAAAAGTTGCATTTACAAGAATGAACATGGGGGGGAAGAAAGGGTAAGATGCCTCCCAGGGCAAGATGATGGTACAAAATATCATCTCAACACTTTTAGTAAATAATTACGCTATTTTTAATTTTGTCATTTCATGTCAATATTTGTGAGATTTAGTCAGTTGAAACAGTTTAATTGATCTAGTTTTGTGTGTCTGGAAAATAGTGATCTATGACACTGTATTATGTTTTTTTTTTTTTTTTTGTTAATGAGGGATTTGTGAACACACTAATGTTTTTAGATTTGTGGCGCAAAAATTATAGTTTTTATTTTGAAGTAAAAAAGATAAAATTATACCCTTGGGGGTAAGATGACCCCCCTTCCCCCCCAGAATTGGTACAAAATGCCCTAGTGGCATGTTGTTAGTGTTATTATTTTTTAAATTTACTGCTTATTGTAATTAATGGGGTTATTATTCACTATATACATGAATTAGATGAACATTTAAGAACATCTCTGCTTTTCATTAAAACGTATAGATTAATTGAATGAAATCATGTAATATGTATTCATAGTGTTCCAATAATGACACATCTTCAATTAAAATATGGGCAGTTAAATATGTAAATATTCATATGCCTATATATAAGTCATAGAATAAATGTACCTTTCAGATGAATCTCTTGGGATTATGCTTTGTTTCTCATCATCAGTTATTCAATTATTCTACTAAATTGTCTTAATACAATTTAAATTGAATAGTTGATTAAGTATTTTACATTAATTATACTTTTATAATATATACATATTAATACGAATTAAATATAAACATTCATTTATGCATTCTGTAGAAGTTTAGCCAGTAGTGGGGTAAGATGCCCTCTTGGAATAATTGTACATTTTGTGCTTTAACAACTAAATTAGTAAATGTTTCTGTTTAACTTACCTTAATAACACATTAGCTGATGCATGCATTATCATCTTGGACATGCTAAACATATTAGTTACAGTCAATTACTATTGACTGAATTACTACACATTACTATCAGTCAAATTTAATATAAATCTGTGTTGTTGTGTTTTTTTTTTGCAAATGTCAGGCATCTCAGCTTGAGGTGTTTGGCAGTCAGAGCCTGGTCTATAATCTGTCATTGCACTGTGTCTCAGAGCATCCCTGTAGATGCATAAAAAATGACATGTCAGTGCTTGAAACACATTATTATGATGACTGGAACAGCTAATCAAGAAGAGTGGAGGCAGGTGAACTCTCACCCTCCACTGTATGGTGCTCATAATGACAATGTATTCTTGATCCACGTGTTTACAGCATAACTGCCTGGAACCTGGAGTCATTTGGCATTTGCAGTGCATATTTACCCTATTGCAGCTGTTAACTAAAATTATGAAAGATTATTATTACAGATATTACATTGCTGATACGATGAGCACCGGCAACGTGACAAAAAGGCTCATTCTGTGTCTGTCACTATCAGTCTGTGAGCTCTCTCTCTCTCTTTCCCACACCTGTATTGACACAAGGAGAGGGTTATGCGCAGAAAGCCTCTCCACACTCTACCCAGCAGCCCACCATTTGTTTACCTTTCCCTCTCAGCTTCCTTTAACACAGCTAGTTTAATCCATAGCTTATCAGTGTGTCCTTAAAGAACCTCTTACTTTATTTTAAACTGAGTGTGGATTTTTCCATATTTTCAAGCAAAATTGCTATGGAATTAGTTGTTAAAGGGGTCATATGATGCGATTTCAAGTTTTCCTTTCTTTTTGGAGTATTACAAGCTGTTCGTGAATAGATAAAATCCCTAAAGTTGCAAAGACTAAAGTCTCAAACCCAAAGAGATATTCTTTATAAAAGTTAAGACTCGTCCATGTCCTCCTAAAACACCTCGTTTAAACACGCCCCCACATGTCTACGTCACGATGTGGGAAGATTTGCATAACACCGCCCAAATGTTCACGCAAAGAAAGAAGCTGTAGTATTGTTGCTGCCGCCGCTGCCATGCCGTGGAGACGCTGTGTGTTTCGTTGTGAAAGCGAAACTACTTTGTTTCTCCTTCCAAAAGAGGACACAACTAGAAATCGAGGAGAAACAATAATGTACAGTATGTGGAAAATAATGCGTTTTTTTAACTTTAAACCGCATAAACACATTTCATTACACCAAATACACAAAATAATGTTCTTTTTTAGCAACGTCATAAGACCCCTTTAACAGAAACATCATTAAATTGGTTAGTTTGACTTAAACTATACAGTAGTAAAGACTAGCGTTTGTGATAAATCATGAAAAGTCATGATAGGTCACACGTTAATTTTCTGCACTGGATTTGGAGAGTATTTAAAGAAAAAAATGGTAAATTGTGTTGCTGAGAATGACTGGTTCTGCAGTAAAGTTTTCTTTCTCTTTGTCACTGTTTAACGCACTACTGAAATCCTACACCCAGTCAATATTGTTTTTGTGCTTAATTAGCATAGATTAAACAATAGAGTCAAATAACATTTCATAACTAATTCAAGAGATATCAACCATTTCGAAGGTGGTTGAATAAATGGTGCCTTTTAAAGGGGTCACAAAAGATTATTCAGCGTTAATTAAATCGTGAAATGTGTTGTTTTTAGTAACCCCCACAGGCAGCATCTTAGTCAAACATAGTAAAGAAAATCAAATCGTCCTCCTTTTTCCCCCTGATTATACATTTCTAATGGAAAAAACCATCTGTTAGAGTCCGTGAGCCAATTAATCACCATGTTCTGGGTGCAGAGACCAGTCTGTGAATGTGTTACGAAACAACTCTGCAAGATGTTGTTTCAGTGTGTGCAAGAAACACTTAAACCTCATGCCAAATAGCAGCAAACCTCAGCTACTGGCGCAAAAGCTTGTTAAGCAGTCAAGCCACTGAGACTAATTTAAACCTAATGGGTTTGTATGTGACTAAACAGAAGACACATTACACTGATGTGACTGAGAAGAATTATTTATGAATGTGCTGACTGTTTGTATGAAATCGTCCAGGTCTAACATCTCTTAACACCAACTCCAGTTCAGTCATACTTTGGTTTACATATAGCCAGGTGTTTCAAATGCATGGATTGATTCTAAATTTTTATTTTTATCAATTTTTTTAAGAAACATTATATATAATCTAACCGTTTCAACCTTTTTTAGACTCAGACTTCTTTATTAATTATAGTTTATATAATAATGGACAGGTGAAAATGGCATAAATGTTTGAAGTAAATTCATGTTGTGATCATGATCGTGTCTCATTGATGATGTCTGCAGACATCTGTGCTCAGTGATACCCAGTCCACTGTACAGTCATTGCTTTTGAGATCATTTCAGGATAATATATTATGCTAAAAAAATATTCTTCAGCAATGATCAGTTACATTGTTTTTTATTTTTATTTTGACTAAAATTACTAAATTACTAAAAGGCTATAATTAAAGTGGTAAAAATATACTGCATAATAAATGGAATAGAAACTAAATGGAAAAGGAAATGCATCTTTAAACAAACGTGCCAGAAAATGTTTGTTTTACAAAATATGTTTTGTTGAGCACTAGCATCAGGCATGGTGCTTTCCAGTGTACTTGGGACTTTTTCTAGATCAGGCTGAGGTTAAAGTAGCTGTTTGTAGCGGTAATTTTTGACATGTTACAAGTATAAAAGATGCCCTGGTTTGTATGAAATATTTCG